AACGAGTTCAACGAGCTTTATCAGAAGACGCGCACGCGCAAATCGGAGTCAGAAGCGGTGGAGCTGTTCATTGACGGCCTGCTGCCTGACCTGAGGGACAAGATATATGACAAAGACAGCGACCCCAGCACATTCAGCACCGTCAGAGAACTCGGACTGAGTGCGGAAGTATGGCTTTTGCGGACACGCAAACGCGGCAACAGCCACAACGAAGAAGACAGCGATGCCGAGAGGACGAGACCGTCAAAAAGCGCACGGATGCAGCCCTGAATGTACAGGCACTCGAGAAACAGGGCGATCCCGATTCTGTGGATATTGTCGATACGAGAAGTACCACCAACCTGATACAACCTGACCACCATATCCCGGCGGCTGGGCCAAGGGACCGCCAGAGGGCCGTAGAGCATCTTGGCGATTTGCAGAGTGTAAAAGAGCATCTTGGCGATTGTCAGAGGGCCACAGCGCATCTTGACAATTGTCGGAAAGCCAAAGAGCCTCTTGACAAGAACTTGGTGTCCGGGTCGGAAGGACCTTTGGGTGCATTGGACAAGCGATTGTGCAACCCCCCTAATATGGCACACCCTGATGCATCAGCGGGCGCGGATAGAAGTCAAGGACAGCCAGTTATGGGATACGCGGGTCTCGCGAGTAGGCTCGGAGGTACCGGTGGCGGTGGGCAGCCACTGATGATAACTGGCGAAGGGCAGGAGCTGGACGGGGCTAGTTCCGCCGAAAACCCCGACGGCGGCAAACGAGAAGGAGGGACGCCTTCTTCCTCGGATGTCGTGCATGGCGGTAGGCGAAGAGATGGGACGCCTTCTTCTTCGCATGCCGTCACGTCGCTGGGCCCACCAGTGACGGAGTGGAAAACGGATGGTCATGTTGTACGTCAGGATGTGTACAACGCAGTATGTAGCGGAGGCAATCAGGCTCCTACAGCTGCATGGAAGGAACGCCACACTGAGATTGTGCGAGGTGTGCGTTGGCAGACATTCGTACCGATGAGAGTGAATGGGGTCTCATCTGAGGTGCTTGTTGATACTGGGGCTGACGTGAGCTTGATCAGCAAGACAATGCTCGATAAGCTGCGGGCCGAGGGGATTAAAGACATAACGCTGACGCCGGCGCGTGTGAAGCTGAGTATGCTGCATCATGCCGAGGCGACAGTGAAGAGCGTCGCAAAGGTTGCACTGTGGCCTGATGGAGTCAAGGGAGCAGACACAAGCACGACGTGTTTGCGTCATCTTCTAGTGGAGTTTTGCGTTATTGATGGGCCGAAGAGTGTCATCTTACTTGGGGGAAAAGCCATTCGTGAGGAAGGCATCATTGTCGACTTCCAAATGGGCAAAGTGCGCATCACATCCCGACCAGAATGGCCACCTATAGACATACAAGAGCCGCAGATAGGGGAGGCAGATGGTTTTAGCATCACTGCGATTGGCGTAATTCGCTTGAAGCCACGCGCCGGGCACGACAAGACGAGTTGCCAGGTTCTCGTCACTGCCAGGACGCCCATACCAGCCGGAAAAGAGACATGGGTGCGAGCGCGAGTGAGTGGAACTGAAGGCGAAGAAGGGGACATCATTCGTTTGATCGATCGTCCTGCTCTCACGTACCATGGTGGTGCCAGGCTTGCTGTCGCCAACCATATGCTGGAGGTCACGAAGGGTCGTCGTGTGTACGTAAGGCTTCGCAATGAATCGCTGAAGAGGGCCGTGCTGCCAAGGAACTACCTGCTGGGGTATTTCGTCACATTGCCGAGCCTGGATGATGCGACTTCCCTAATGCAGACATCTGACACAGCCAAACATCAAATAGCAGCACTAGGAATGGTTGACGACGACCTGCCAATGGCGATTGATACGATACCTGCTGAGATTGATCGAGAGCGCCTTGATCACTTGATGGGGACTGCACCAGAGACAGAAGACGTCTGCAATTACCCAAATGCGAACGGCATCGAGCACAGCATTCATGTCGGCAAGGGCCTGACCGAGCAACAGAAGAGACGGGCGATCGATATCATTCGAGAGACACAACAAACAGGGATTTTCTCAAAGGACAGCACTGACCTCGGTCATGTCGATCCGTCGTTGGGTGTGCATCGAATCTCTGTTAGCGGCAATCCGCCTTACATGAAACCACGGAAGCTGGCGCAGACGGAGTATGAGCAAGCCGTGAAGATAGTGAGTGACCTGGAGGCCAAAGGCATTGTCGAGCCTGCGGATTCCGAATACAATGCTGCGATTGTGATGGTCAAGAAGAAGGACGGCACTTGGCGTTTGTGTGTGGATTACCGATGGCTGAACGAGATCACTGAGAAGTCCCGCTATGCTCCACCATTAATCGATCGATGTTTTGAATGCCTCCAAGGCAT